TCAGCACAAATCTCCTGTATAAGAAGGGCTGACAAATTCTCAATAGGGTTTAGATATTTTTAATTGTTAATTGATTTTAGTTGGGGTGTTTTAAATTTATTGGGCCAATATTTGTTTAATTCTTTTTTAAAAAAAATTTAAATTTTGTATGTGATGTTTTTATTCTTGGCTGTTCACTGCACTGAGTCCAGTGGGAGAAGGGCGGTATAAAAATCTAAATCAATCAATCAATCAATCAATCAATCAATCAATCAATCAGGTGAGGAAGGTGGCCATGCAGGGGTGAAATCTAGTAGGTTCTGACAGGTTCTGGAGAACTGGTTGCGGAAATTTTGAGCAGTTTGGAGAACCAGCAAATACCACCTCTGGCTGGCCCCAGAGTGGGGTGGGAATGGAGATTTTGCAATATCCTTCCCCCAGGAGTGGGGAGGGAATGGAGATTTTGCAGTATCCTTCCCCTGCCATGCCCACCAAGCCACGCCCACAGAACTAGTAGTAAAAAAATTTGGATTTCCCCATTGGGGCCATGTCATTAGTCTTGCATCTTTAAGGCCTTTTACTGGCTAGCCTTCGATCATGTGATGGAGCATTGTCCTGCATAAAAATCATGGTCTTGAAAGATGCAGATTTTTTCCTGTAACACTGCTTGAAGAAAGTGTCTTCTAAAAACTGGCAATAGGTTTGCAGGTTGATTTTGAGTTCATCTTCAACCGAACTAGCTCATATTTAATAATACCGGCCCATACCAATACCTTACCTCCACTTTGTTTGTATCTGAGTCGAATTGGAGCTCTGTGCCCATTACTGATCCAGCCACGGGTCCATCCACTTGGTCCATCAAGAGTCATCACTCTCATCTGATCAGTCCATATAACTTTTGAATAATTGTGCACACAGTGTAGGAGCAGCCATGGAAAACCTCCCATTTTGTTCCTTGTCCTATCATTTAGAAAATAACACACAGAAGTTGAGCTCTGCTTGTGTCTGGGAAACTATCTTCATATGTGTTTGGCACCTATTTCATCAGTCAAGGGGAGACAGGTATACACAAGGTATCTCAGGGGAGCAAATATAACAAGAATATAGTGTACCACTGAGTGCCTGTTTATTTCAGAACTTATCTCATTGCCAGAATGGACACCCTGAGGTTTTTGATGCTAAAACACATGTAGTGGTGAGAAGGAAAAAAACAGCCATAGTCCTACTTGAAGGCAACAGATGCTTGTCTTCCTTCAGCCAGAGAGGGGATGTGCAATACTGAAACATTCTCCTGCCCCAATAATATATGACGTAATACAGTATGACATATAGATTATAAATAAATCTAAAGATTTATGAATAAAACAACAGATATACACTTGCACAAGTCTGTACCATTATATCCCATGCCAGAAGCCACCAGCCAGTGGCAAGCCATCTGCCTTGGTTTAGCTGCCTCTCAGTTTCAACTCCAGACTATGCTTTCTACTTTGTTTGCACAAAGTCAGAATTAGCACATCCAGGCAAAGCAGGTGTGAGGTATAATAATAATAATTATTATAATAATTATAATAATAATTTTCCTTGGATTGAAGTAGTCTGATCAGTTTTTTTTTTAAAAAAAATATATTGTCCCCTACATCTGGGTCTCAATCCCTGGTTAGAAGTGAGATTATGGTTTAACACATTGCCTGATATATCCTCAAATTACATATTTGTTTGTTTGCCTATCAAACTTATACCCAATTCCCAACTGACAACTTTTAGCAGTTTAGCGAGTATACAATAAGTTAAAATAACCACAGAAGGATCCAGTCTAGAGTAATAGTTAAGACGTCAGGCTGTAAACCAGGAGATGCTAAGCTCTGGTCCCACCTGAGGCATGAAGCCTGCTGGTTCATCTTGGGCCACACCTTCTCTCAGCCTTAGAAAGAAGGGGAGGGCAAACCACTTCAAGAAAATCTTGCCAAAAAAACTGAAGGGACTTGTCTGAGGAGAAGACTCACTCAAAGGCAGACAGACATAAAAAAACCCGCAAGACAATTAAAACAGTCACATCATAAAATCCCCAATGAAGACCAAATAGCAACAAACAAATAGAAACAGTAGTGTAATGACATTTAAGAGAATGTAATCCAAAATCATTACGTCTTCAACTGTTTCCTGAAAACCAGCAGGGAGGGGGCATATCAAACAAGGCTGGCCTCAATTACATAAACAAGGTAATTAGTTACCAAGTAGTTTCTCTTTTTTTTAAAAAAAGAATTCCACTGAAAAATCCACAGTCTGACAACACATTCTTGGGATCGACTAAATGAATATAAAATTAATCGCAGCTTTGGAGTTCTTCATAGCTTTTTGCCAGTCTAGACACCAAGTGTTTGGAAGGCAGGAAGTAAAAAAATAAATGAAGACTTACCAGAAAGCTGAAGTGATGAAGTAGACATAGTCAGGAGCTTTAGGCAAAATAGAAGGAGATGTACAATCATAAATGGGTTATGCTTTAGTCAGAGTCATTCAGATTTTATACCCAGCTCATAGAGATTGATTACTGACTTATTATTCACTTTGTTTGGCCAGTCACTTGCCATGCAACTCTGGGTGGCTAACGTCCAGTTAAAAATAGCGACCAAATAACACAAACAAATGATTTTATTATGGTTATTCTCTTTGCTGATCTATTCCAGATCACCCAAAAACCAGTTCTTGGTCTGACCCAGTTTTCTTAACCTCAGCAACTGTTGGCTGGGAGAATTCTGGGAGTTGAAGTCCATGCATCTTAAAGTTGCTGAGATTGAGAAACACTGCTGTAACCCTTCCTTTCAAATAGTCCTGAAAGATGTGATGTGCTCGGATGCCTCTGCATTTAACTTGCAGAGGAGGGCATGGTCTTTCTGCTGGGACTACCAGATCTAGCCTTCAACTATGAGGTACCAAAAAGGGTTAGAAAGGCCTACATCCTTGTGTTGCCAGCTAGTGTTCATTAATCCTGTTTCTTACATTTCACCTTGATCGGTTGAAAAGGAGGTCTTGTGTGAGTTTGCAACCCACATTTGGCCGAGTGCAGAATCTAGACCTATGCTTCATGCAGTTGGAAGCCTGCACATTTACAATTCGCCAACACACAAAGCATTAAACAGTATTTTGCTCTGATGTTTGTTTTTTAGTTTTAAAATACTCAAAATGAATTATTTTTTTTTAAAAAACCCTACCAAACAGCTTTTGAAGTAGTCTTTTGATTTTCTAAGGGAAGGAAAGACCCATTTTAAATTCCGTCTCTGAAAATTGCTTCTGGTCATTTTCTAAGCTCTACGAGCAGCTGTGATTTAGGAGCCTCTAAGCTCCTCTCACCAGAAGCCCGAAGGGAGACAGGGATTGCTTATTCCTTTTCCATCTTTTTCTGTCACAGAACACATGCCTTAAGTGGAAGGGCTGGGTGGCAGGAAGGAAGGAAGGAAGACATCTCTGTGACATTGACAGGGAAAAATAGCTTCTAGGAAGTGAGTTAGCAGAAAGGAAGAGAGGCAAAACTTGAGGGAAGAGTAGTGGGGGGTAGAACAAAGTGGGGGAAGGGATCTAATTTCAATAAATAAAGGACTTGTGTTTCATAACATTCCTGCTTGATTCTTTGGTGGCGGCAAGCAGACCTTATTTCAAGAGAGCTTCCCAAGAAATTCACTGTGGGAAGACAAGAAAGAAAGGACTGTCTCCATGTTAGAAATAGAGGTCTTGCCCCAGTGCAGTTTCTCCTAATCAATAAACAAAGGAATACAACTGCAACTTTGAGGTTTACTGAAAAAAAGGGAAGTTCCTGTTCATCATTTCCAGAGTTTTCATCAAAATAAAATGCCAGAACATAAAAATGGAATACCTTCCTTCCTAGCAGACTAAACTTCAGTGCTAGCTTTTAACTTGACTACTGAAAGCCAGTCCAGACAAAAAGCTTTTAGTGCATAACTTGAATATCTGCGTACTTTGGCTCATCTCCAAAGAGATGGGAATCTATATTTGGACTTTGTTCGCATGTGCGTGTATGTCTCTGTGTGTAGTTACATGCTTTGCAAATGCCTGTGCAGTATCAGGTTCTAAGAATATAACACCAAAGTCTGTTTCCTTTCTGAAAAAGATCAGAAGAAATTCATGATATTGTGCAAAAGTTATATTTATGAACAAATGAATTGGTTGGGAGTCAATAGCAACTCCATTTCACATTTTTTTGGGATCGTCTAAAGCAGGGGCTCTCAACCCCCAGTCTGTGGACTGGCATTTGTTTGTGGCATGCCAGAAATTGGGCCGTGCAAACAAGCGAAGCTCCATCCGCGGGATGCAGGCAGCACACAAAAACATGCCCCCTCCAGTCCGTGGAAAAACCTCTTTCAGTGGAATGGGTCCCTGGTGCCCAAAAGGTTGAGGGCCACTGGTCTAAAGCCCAATTCTTCAACATCAAAACACCCGGGAGACATTCTGAGAAGTTAGTAGCTATTCAAAGGTAGCAAGCAGTTCAACTCTCTGGCTTTTTCTGACCCAGACTGATGATCCTGGATCAAGAAACAGTTACTACAATTTCCACAACAGAATTATAAGCACTGATAAATGTATAAAGGAACACCTCAAGGAACTGGATTGGATGGATAAGAGAAAATGTGACTTCAATATTAGATATATGTCACTGACAGGAGGGGGCTGTTGCTCCTACTAACTGCTCCTGAGCTTTCTGTATACATGGGGATGGTCACAGTGTGAATTAAATGAGTGTTCCTTCACCTGTTTTCATGTTCTCATGTTAGGGGTGGGAACTAATAGCTGAAAGAATTCCCTGGAAATTTTATAACAGATTAAAACATTTCTAATGGCTACAACAGTTTTTCTGGGCCATATTCCCAACACTTATTTAATCTTCAGTGCTCTGGGCCCAAGACACTTGAACATGAACCAACAGATGAATTTCATCATTCTCCAGACTATCCTAATGATGTCACTGAAAAGCTGATCTCCATGGAGACGGCATATTTGCAGCACAGTCAGGATTCTAGTTGGACTTATATGGAAGCTTTCTGATGGAAGTGAAGACTACCTTCTGCAGGCAATTGCTCTGTCTATGGAGACTAGGCTGTTCACTGGTGCCTCCTTTTGTGGCTTGTGTCCTTACTATTTCTGACACTCCCTGCCAATAGATGGGTCAGTTTTATAGATCAGATTAAGAAAACAGTGTCACATAGGATTATCGTTCTTGGAGCAGGTATAGAAACAAAATCTTGCAGATCTGAAGGTACTTCCCCATCCTCACTTTATTTACCTGTGAATTAGGGAGTGGCCTGTTTGAGATGTTTACTCAAACTATTTTCTTGGAATGGGCTCAAATCACATTTATCTGGATGTTGCTTTGTAACGGCTCTTCATCCTTTCTGTTAAGGCCACTATTATATGTCAAGCAAGAAGGCATGGCCCAGCTCCTTCCTCCCAAGATGGTAACAGGGCTGGAGCTCAATGGCAGGCTTCCTTGGTTGCAACCCCCTTCTCTGGAACAGTGCAATTCCTGAGATCAGATTAGTCCGTTTCTATAAATGTTCAATAAGGCTCTTCTGATGAGACTTTGAGCAGAGGTGCCATATCAAGAGAGGCATATCTTTTTGAGTAGTGGCTCATTGTAACCTGGATTATATTGTTATTGATAGTTTTGGTTTTAGGCAAGCTTTTGCTGTTCTTGCAAACAAAACCTGCCTATAATCTTTTGAGATAACCGATAAATGGCTGTATAAACAGGCCAACCAATTGGTAAATAAAGCATAATGGAGGCTACTCACTGCTCCTTGTGTGTTGACTGATCACAAAGGTTTTGTGGGTTTGGAATCCACTCTCATCTAATTCTTAAAGTTTTGAACACTTGACTTGTTTGGGCCCAATGTTAAAATGTTTTTGTTTAGGAAACAAAAATGGAAGTTTATTTAACCATGTTTTATTTTTCCTTCCTAATAGAGATCAACTGCTGATTTGGTTATTATGATTTTGTTATAGCTGTGGTTTTAAATGGCATTTTTTTCTATGATTACTTCATGCTGATTGTTGCTGTTTTCCAGTTCCGGCAGTAGAGTAAAGAAAAAGCTAGGCAGCATTTTAAGTAAATAAATAGAGTGGCTTCAGTTTCAAGAGCTGTGACATTTTTTGCTTTAGGCAAAAGAAACAAGGCATGTGTTTGTGCATTAACTCAGAAATCCCAGTATGTTCAATGAGGCTTACATGCTCCTAAGTTTGTCTCATGTTTGTTGCCATACTATTATAGCAACTGTCCTTTTCCATCTAATGCATGGTTATACCACAAGGACAGAGATGTTTTTGGGGTTCCAAGTTTTATCCAGTTTTGCTTTCTTTGGAAAGTCATGTTTGGATTGAACACCAACTGAATTTATGTGATGAGATTTACAGCTTAAACTCATCTTTGTTCCTCATCAGAATTCTTTCTCGCTCTCTTTGTGTGTGCGTTTGTGTGTACCCATCTATGTGCCTTTGACTCCTGGTGACTCCTGGTGATTGCCTGGATTTCTGTAGCTTTCCTGGCAATGTTTTCAGAAGTGGTTTGCCCTTGCTTTCTTTTTAGGACTGAGAGAGAATGATTAGCCCAGATGGCTTTGTGCCTAATGCAGGACTAGAACTCATGGTCTCCCAATTTATAGCCCAGTATACCTATAGTATAGGTATACTTGCCCAGTATACCAAACTAGCTCTCCATCAGAGTTCTAGGAGATCCTAAATTAACTTCCTAACCTGCTTTTTTTTGGGAGGGAGGTTGTCTCAAATGATGGTACCCTACTTGGTTTCTGTTTTTGACTCATGGAGGTGAAGAAAGATAACCATAAACTGCCAGCCATCTCAGAGTTTTTCTTGAGCCATTAAAGCACAATCACAGCTATTCACTGTCCTTCACTGTCAAGACATTGCATCAGTTCATTATAATCAGGATTCATAAGAGAAATTCTAGAGCCAACCTTTAAGGTCTGTATTTACCAGAACAAGCAATCTGGTAAAAATCTCTTACTGGGATATTTTAGAAGCAGAAGTCAGTTTAGTGTAGTGATGAACGAACAGTAGGTTTATAGTCATTGCTAAATATCTTCCCAGCAGAACTAGTCTGTAAGTCCAATGATGAGTGATAGTGGAAACTATAGTGTACTCTAAACTACTGATGTAGAAATATGTGCAGCAGTACAACATATGGAATTAGCAGTTATACATGCCAACCATTGTACTAGTCCCTAGACTCAAGATGGGATGCCTTCTATATGCAACATAGGCATAATGCTTTTAATAGCAACACTGATTTCAGTACAGGACACTTCCTGGGGATTACTGACCAGCTGGTTGGAGCTGACAGCATTTGGCTGGGCTTCAGGCTATGAATATACTTCAAGAATCAACAGTTCCTACCAGCTGGTAACTAATCCACAGGAAATGCTCCTTGTTCTCATTGCTACTGCTTAATCAACAGTTCCCCTGCTAGAATTCCATGCTCATCTTTTAAAATCTTGATAATTTAGTAATCCAATATATGGAATCCCAGATAAAGAAGCCCAAGGTTCATCTTATTACTTCTATCATTGACAAGATATGATAAATGACTCTCGTATACAATTTATAATAAATTAGCTTTCTTTATGGATCCAAATGTTTCCTAAATATTGATCTTATACAATTTATAATTTATAAATATTGATCTTATACAATTTATAATAAATTAGCTTTCTTTATGGATCCAAAAGTTTCCTAAATATTGATTTTGTGGATAAACTAAGTGCATGCTTCAAGTAGGACACAATCATGGCAGTGTAACAAAATGAAGTGGTCTGTTGTATATGCATAAGAACTATGTACAAATGGGCAAACAATATTTTTAATTTCTTGGCTCTGGTAGGAAAGAGAGGAGAACATTTCAAATGTCTTGGGTTTTATGCAAAGTTGCAAAAAATAGTCATGGTCTTAATAACTCCTAACAACACTTGCACTAAATTCATTGATTTCAGCAATGGCTTATTTAGAACAAAAAGTATTTGATTTATTTAAATATATATTTATTAGTTTTATATTCTGCTTTTCATTAGGTGATCAAGGTAGTATACATTCTCTCTTCCCCATTTTCTCCACAATAATAACTAGTGAGATAGATAGAGGAAGAGTGACTCAGCACCACCCAGATGAGAGTGGATTCGAATACGGTTTGTCCTTCTACTCACACTGGCTCTGCTAGCAGCTCCTGAAAATAACACACTTCTGTATTTGAATAAATCTAGTGAGGGGCTGGTAGGAGGATGTCTATTCTACACATGTTAATGTTTTATTTGTTAGTGTAAAATATATTACCCTCAGTGCCTACTCAAGGTGTTTAGTATCAGGACAGCAGAAACAAATTCCTTTTAATTCTTGTAGATATCATGATGTCTGCATATGCTTAGATAATTATAGTTGTTTAAATGAGAGTTGGGAAGCTGTTATTTGCTTGCTTTAACATATCAGGATGTGGCACATATGGCAAAACATGGAATGATGATTAGAAGGGTTAAGGCTCAATAAGCTCTCAAAGGACTGAACAAAGCCACTATGTATTAGAAGCCCTAGTGGACATTGTGGTAACCAGGAGAGCAGAGTAATGCGGGTGCCCAAGCTTTTTCAAATTGTGCAAAAGTTCCGCAATATTGAAAAGTTTGGGTCAGTGTTCCAGTATGATGCAAACAAGATGGCAGTCGGAAAGGTCAAAGGAGAAATTTGGAATTTCCCTGGCAGCTAAACTGTTCCCATCCTTAAAAAGCCATTTGCACTTCTGGGAAGCATTGCTTTATAGGTCCTTTCCTTCTGTTTTTCCACAGAATCTGCCTTCTTTATATCCAGGTACTTGAACTGAATCCTAGATAAAAATGGATAACACAGGAAATGCCAGAGGGAGGTGCACCTGGAAAGTGATGGCAGTGTGTGTGTGTGTGTATGTGTGTGCTTTGCTCTTTGAGCAAAGGTCTACTTTGCTCCCTCTCCCTCTCCTATGTCCGCCAGCTTTAACTATTGGTGTGTTCCACTTCCTTTAATTCATGCTTGTGTAAGTGGAGTCCTACTAGGTGTGTCCTACCAGATTCCAATTCCTCCTTCTAGGAAGAAGAAAAAAAATAAATCCCCATCTATCATTTCCTGCAATTGTTTGGCTCTGGGCTGAAAATGTGGGTGTCTTTATCTGGGAAAAGGCGGGAATGCCTCATTTCCTTTTGCACTGCGGTTAGCTGTGACATTTTAGTTAACAATGGAATTTTACAGAAAGACACCAAAACCCTTTTGGCCAATTGGATGGCAATAAGTCTGCTGCCATTTCCGTTCCTAGAACTGTAGCACTGGAATGGCTGCCGAGACCACACTTAATTCTTTTTTCATGCTGCCATAAAATGGCAAAGCAACATGATACTTTGATGTCAACAGTAAATTAAAACTAGTTTTCTGTTTCTTGACATCTGTCACCTCCCGTTCTGTTCCTGACTTGCTAAAAGTGATGTTGAGTTGTGATGAAGTCTTGGATTCAATTCAACTGCAAAAGCCATTTGTCACTACACATTCTGTGACAGAAAGAGAGAATTCACAACATTTTAAGGGACTTTTAATTTTATTACAACACAAGAATCAACCCTATGTTTCTTCTGCCGACAGTTTAATACTAAAATAATCCTTTATTTCTTGTCAGATTAGTTAGGGGTAAGAATCCAATACAAGTTGTAATATAACATATAACATATATATAACTTATATAACATATAAGGAACCTTGGTGGCGCAGCAGACTAAAGTTGTTAGATCAGGCGCAGGAAATGAAGACGTGACCAGCTCGATACATTAGTAACTTTATTAGCTACAAAGTATAGGCAAGACAAGACTGCTGCCGCGCTGCCGGAGCTCTCCTTATATTCGCTCCGGCAGTCGCACCGCCCCTGACAGGGATTCAAACTTTCCCGCCCGGTGGCTGGCAGCCAATCCGGGCGGATGTCCTTATAAGGACATAACACTCCTCCCCCCTTAGTCCGGGAACTGTCAATCTTCATCAATAAACGTCACGTAATCACGCAGGTACGTAGGACGCCTCGGCACCCTATTTGACCTGCGCAGCCTCACTTCTTCCTCGTCTTCGACCTGGACGGACGGGGCTTCTGTGTCTCCTGGTTCCCTCCCCGGAACCGGGTTCAGTTCGGCTGGCGACTGTGCGGGGTCACCCTCAGCGCCTCCGGCCGGACCGCAGAGCTTGGATGGC